AATTAAAAATTTTACCTTCTAACTTTTTATACAGAAAGATTTTAAAATCTTAATTTTCTTATTTGTACCTACCTTTCCAATGAGGTGGAGGATGTATTCAATAATGATCGAGATGAGAAGCAAGACGAAGCAGACGATAGCAACCGCCCAAGTCGGGGTTTGTTCGAGTGACTTGCCACCACCTGCGCCCGCCATGGCTAAACTAGCTAGCAATCTCCAATCACAAACTGACCCTTCTGATACCTAGGTTGTGGGGTTTCTATTTATGGATATCTTTTCCCTCAAAGTTTCTATATTGGTATTTTCTCGGGAAAAGGGCTGAAGGAAAGTGGATAAGTATTTTCCCGGAAAGTTTCCAGTGAGAAACCCTGAAAACTTTTAAAGCTAGAGAAAGGGAAAGGGAAAGAGAGAGCAAAAAAATGAGTAATATGATGATGATGGCAAAGAGGCAGCGTAGAAATCAAGCTTTATATGATTTCTAGAGAGAGAGAAAGTGAAAGAAAGATAATGACTTTGACTTTCAATAGTGCTCAATAGTGGGCGAATTGAAGTCAAACAAGATGACTCGACACTCTCTAGCGAAGATAGATGATACCGATGAATGGAGGCTTACAAAATACAGTTAGAACTCTGACAGTCAAGTCAGTAATTTGATCCTATTACATTTAGTTGTCAAGAAAATACATAGGAAATTAATTTTATGAACTCATTCTCCATAAATTATTTTTTATTTACACTGATCTATTATGAGCCACCTATGATGGTTAAAACGGAGACTATAGAAATATTAGGTATATTAGGTAGGTAATGGAGAACAAACTCTTCTGACAATGGATGAAGAAGACTTATAGGTTAAAATTGAGACGTTAATCGCCACATCAAGTTTTTATTCAAAATATTAATGGAAGTTTGCTAAAATGGTACTTTTGAAACATTTATGAAAGATCAAGGTAGTATTAAAACTTTTAAAAGAATAGGGATATTTTTGAAATAAAAGAGAAAGTTTAGGGCTCTTGAAAGGTATTATTGAAACTTTATTATCTTTTTAAGTTGGATATTGATTAAACGATGAGGATACATTTTTATGCTCAGAGAAAAATAAAATTAATATTTCTTACTACTCCGTTGGGTAAAGAATTCATGTCACAAATTTATTTAATGATTTGTATTAAGTTAATGGTAAAGTATATATATGATAATAATTTAAAATTTTGAAAGTGAGAATCCCAATAATATGATACATGGAAGAATAAATTAGTCTCTTTTTGAGTTTCTTAGAAGGTATGATTGAAAATCCTTTCCTATCTCCCATCCCAATTTAAGTCCTAAACTAAGGAAAAATTATTCGGGGGAGTTGTCACAATGCCATGTTAGGATTTCTCGTGATTATTAGAGACATCAAGATACATTTCAAATTCACTTAGGAACAAATAAGTTTCATTCAATAATTTTTTCCTGATCTCTCTTCTTCTATTTATTTTCGTAGTTAATAATTTTTAGGGCACTCTTAGGAAAAAAAAATCTGATAATTAAAGGATGAAGAAGTTAAAAATGGAGAAAATAGAATTTCCAAAATAAAAAGAAAAATCAAACAATAATATATTTCAATTTTCTTCTATTGGGAGAGAAACGTTGACTTAATCAAAGAAATTGCCAAGTGCGTAAATATATAATTACGGGTTTCTTTGACCAACTCCTATCACACGGCGATTTAATCAGAACCGTCCATCACGTCCAAGTCAACCTCTGCTTAAATTAACAATAATTACTTAAATCTCCTTCCTTTAATCTGAACCGTTGATTCCAACCAATATTAAAAAAAAAAAAAACAAAATACCATAATATTAATTTCTTGTTATATAAATTATAGTTTTCCTTTCGCATTCATATTAGTAGAAAATATTCTGTTTCTGACCAAGACCAAGCTTATCCCTTCCCTGGGCTGAAGACCTAAATTAAATAAAATTTTTAATATCTTTTTTAAGTATATATTTAAAAAAAAACATTTTCTTGACTTGGTCTCCCCATTGTATTTGGCTAATATTGCACCATTTTTATGACTTTGGAGTGGAATATTACTATAAAAAGAAGGAAATAAAAAAATAAATTAAAATTTCAATCATCTAAACATGTATAGAAAAGGCAGTATTTTAAAATTAATTCCTCAAGATGGATGTTATTAGTCAAACAATGTAAACTGTAGGTGCTCCGGTTCTCTGAAATCTAGCTACGTCTTTATTTTTGTAATAATATTATGATGGAATGATAATTTACATAATCTTGTTCAAGAATTGCAAAATTACATTATTGGCCTCATGATAAAAATATAACCACTAAAATTTTATAATTGTTGGATTTATTCCGTTGATATTTTAACTTGTATAATCATCTCCATGATTATATCTTGATGAATTGTAGTTCTTTTTTTTTTCTCTTCAGATTAGAGGAATTTGGAATATATAGTACTTCTAAAAGTGAAGAACTAGAAATGAGATTATAGTGTACTAAATAAAGAAAGGAAGAAATAAGATTATTGGGTTATTAGATGGGATACCGATATTAGTGAACAATTTTTTGGTATGTA